TTTCTGGATTCTCTATTCTATTCCATTGATCAGTGTGTCTGTTTTTATGCCAGTACCATACTGTTTTGGTTATTATAGCTTTGTAGTATAGTTTAAAGTCAGATAGTGTTATGCCTCCAGCTTTATTTTTTATTTATTTATTTGCTCAGAATTGCTTTGGCTATGCGTGGTCTTTTGTTATTGCATATAAATGTCTGGATAAATTTTTCCATTTCAGAGAAAAATGTCTTTGGAATTTTGATGGGGATTGCATTGAATTTGTATATCACTTTTGGTAGTATAGACATTTTCACAATGTTGATTCTTCCAGTCCAAGAGCATGGGATATCTTTCCATCTTCTGTGTCCTCTTTAGTTTCTCTCAGCAGTGGTTTGTAGTTCTCATTATAGAGATTTTCACATCCTTGCTTAACTCAATTCCTAAGTATTTTATTTTTTTGGTGGCTATTGTAAATGGGCAAGCTTTCTTGATTTCTCTTTCTGCATGTTCACTATTGGAAAATAGAAATGCTACTGATTTTTGTGTGTTGATTTTGTATCCTGCAGTGTTGCCAGATGCCCCTTGTTTGCCAATACAACTAGAAGTCTGCCTTTTAAAGTGAACTCTCTTGGTTTTTAAATATTTGTTCAAAGTCACTTTTAAACCTATGCAGGCCAAAGAAAACCTATGTGTGGTCTGGACTGGTCTGGATGGTCTCAGCGCATATCTAGAGACCACAAGTTTAAGGCAAAGTGGTCAAGTGAGTTCCAGGCCAAAGACCCAGCACAAAGGCTGGAGGTGGAAGGGGTGGGAATCCAGATCTGAGTTTCCTGCACCAAAAAGAAAAACTAAAGCCACACCCAGCCAGGTGGGGCAGGGGCTGGGCCAGCTGGGCTGGGGCTGCGTTGGTCCTTGCATGCAGTGACCTGTGCTGTGCTCTTCCCCGCCTTCCCCTGCAGATTCTGGAGGAGAACATGAAGTTGGAGTGTAAGTGCCATGGTGTGTCGGGCTCGTGCACCACCAAGACATGCTGGACTACGCTGCCCCAGTTTCGGGAGCTGGGCTACGTGCTCAAGGACAAGTACAACGAGGCCGTTCACGTGGAACCCGTGCGCGCCAGCCGCAACAAGCGGCCCACCTTCCTGAAGATCAAGAAGCCCCTGTCGTACCGCAAGCCTATGGACACGGACCTGGTGTATATCGAGAAGTCACCCAACTACTGCGAGGAGGACCCGGTGACGGGCAGCGTGGGCACGCAGGGCCGGTCCTGCAACAAGACGGCACCCCAGGCCAGTGGTTGCGACCTCATGTGCTGCGGCCGTGGCTATAACACTCACCAGTACGCCCGCGTGTGGCAGTGCAACTGTAAGTTCCACTGGTGCTGCTACGTCAAGTGCAACACGTGCAGCGAGCGCACTGAGATGTACACGTGCAAGTGAGCCCGCGTCTGCACTGCACGCCGCCCTCCAGCCGCAAGCTAGATTGCAGGGAGGACTGGACAGTTCCAAGCTGCGATCTCCCTGGCAGGTCACTGCTTAGATCTTCACAGGGAGCTGCAGGATTACTGAGCTTGTCTTCTCTGCGGAGGAGGGCACCTCTCCTGGGATTCCTGCAGGCACCTGTGGGAAAAAACCTCTCCGAGCCCTGGACTATACTGTTCCACCCTCTCCCAGACACCGCCCAGGTCCCTCCACGGCTGGAGCGAAGCCTCTCACAGCAGGAACTCTAGACACGTGGGCTTCATCATAGCAATATTTAACAATTTATTCTGATAAAAAATAATATTAATTTATTTAATTAAAAAGAATTCTTCCACCTCGTCGGGATCCGTTTTCTGCAATCAAAGTGGACTGCTTGCTTTCCTGGCGGGATGATTTTGTCGCTAGGATAAAGAGCCAAGTAGAACTGTACATAGTTATTCTTTATGCAGATATTTCTACTAGTTGATCTTACAAGTAGCTCCCTTGCAGTACTAGATGTTTAAGTACGAGAGCAGACATCCTTTATACATATGTAGATACATATATACACACACACATTTATATTTTTTTGCTGTTTGCTGCTACTTATCCAGAAATTTAAGCTGGTCAGATTTGGAGATGTTTTTCCAGAATACGCTTCCCATCCTTTTGCCCTCCCTGGTTCAAACTTTACCACTACAAAAATCCAGTTTGGAATAGAAAGAGAGAGGAAAGATAATAATTAACTCCCAGAAATTTCCGTCTTTTGGAAAGTGAGCCACTGGATAAGAGAGAATATTTTGTAAGAGACTATTTTTATATGAATATCTTATTTATACGAGTCTGCCTCTATCATTCCATGGCCCGTGCTTCTTCCTAATCTGGTGCTCACGTTGGGGCACGGCCAGGCCCCCAGGACCCTCACATGCTAGGTCCTCGAGTTTGTTCGACAAGTGGGCAAAAGTGGCCCTGGGATTCCCGGGGTGGAGGCACCATTGCTATTAACTGGGAAAGAAATCAAATCCCCAGGCTCAGACTTTGAGCAGTGTCACTGAGTGGTGGCCTCAGGATGAGCCACTGTGGCAGGCGGGCCGCACCCTCGGCATTGTGTGACCATCACGGGGACCGTGGTCTTTGGGCAGAGGTCAGCTCAGGGAGCCTGCACCTCATGAGGACACCCCTGCCATGGCCTGTGTGTCCTTGGAGGAGGTGAGGTGCAGTCCTCAGAGAAGGGGCAGAATGGTGGCTGGTGAGGGGTCAATGAGCAGCCTGGCCCAGTGGGGCTTCCCAGGTGTCACACTCCTGGGGCAGCCCGGCAAGGAGAGGCTTTGGGTCCAGCTACACCCAGTGCCTCTCAGCCCAGAATGCTCTTCTCCAGGAGGCTTTGGGTGTTCTAATATGTGTCTGTTTGTATTTCCACATGTGTAAGTATAACCTTAGGTATTCTTGGGGTGGTCATGTGACCTTGCGCCTTAAAGAGCCTCTGGTGTGCCTATGCATGTCCGTGTCTCTGTGTGTTTCCATGTGCTCCTGCGTGTACCAGGGTATCTGTGTGTCTCTCTCCATGTGCCTGGGAGATTAGGTTATGTATACATATATAAACATAGCTGTGTGCCTGTGCATCTGCTGGTCTCCAGGTGTCTCTGGGGTGTCTGTGCTTACAGATGAGGACCTGTGCTGTGAGAGACAACAGAGATCTTCTGTGATTGTGTTGAGCCACCTCTGAACTCTATCCCCACAGCCACTGGTAATATCTTTAGACCACATCCCCTTGGCCCCACATGCCGACAGCCCCTCAGCATCTAGGCTGTGTCTACTCCTCGATGTCAGCACTGGGCCTGGATCACAGCATTGGCAAATAAAAATGGCTGGATGGTTGTTGATTTCTTCCCTTGGACTTTTTTAAAAATTATCTTTTCTTGGGTGTCTGGATGAGTGGGAATGTGAAGGAACAATGAAGTGAATGGATGGAGGGAGGCGAAGGGGTGGGTGGATGGACAGATGGACAGACAGACAGATGGATGGGTAGTGAGTGGGTGGATGGATGGACAGACGGATGGACAGATGGATGGATGGGTAGATGAAGAGAAAACATACAGGAGTCTCTCAAAGCCACCATGTCACATTTTATCTCTGCCTTGGGAAACATACTGTGTCTCCCATGAGCAGAGGGGCTTCCCAAGCCTGCGGCCCCTCTGCTCCCGGCTTCATTGGCACCTGGGAATGGGAGGGGCTCTGACTAGCCTCCCCAGATGACTGTTTAATGTTGGTTACATATGCACAATCTTAGAAAAGTGACCTCCCTGTCCTCCTTTACTGTCCAGGTGAGCAATCAGCCTGGCACGAGGGCAGCTGGGCCTGTAAGAAGAATGGCTCGGTCAGCTGCCAGCCTGCCACCTGGGCCACAGCACACTGTAGGTTCCCCACGCTGGGGCCTGCCTTTTCTTTGGTACCCAGCTCAGCTGTGGTCTGAGCCTATTTCTCCATCTGTAAAATCAGGATAAGCACACCTCCAGCACGGGGCTGTCGCGAGGGTCCCTCCAGTAATGACCACATGGCATTTTGAGGTGCAAAGCAAAGGGTGAGAGCTAAATATTATTACTCATAAATATTATTACTGTCATTATTATTCTCTCCGCAGTTACAGGATTCTTAAAACACGGCCTATGGTAATAAATATTTGGCTCTGTGCTGGGCAAAATTACCCCCCCGCACAGTGGTCTAATCCTAAAGTAGCTTTTCAGTAAAACTAACATTCAAATGGCCAAAATGGCAGAGGCTGATTCATAAAATCAGAAAGCCCAGGACTATAGTGTTGAAAACACAGATGAGTGGGGCTTAGGTGGGGACACAATTTTGGAAGTGAGGGGCTCCGTGCACAGGTGGAGCCGTCCCCCCACCCCACACACACACTGAGGCAAGGCCACCGCGGCTCCTGAGCCCCCAGGAAGCCTCGTAGTGTTGAAAACACAGATGAGTGGGGCTTAGGTGGGGACACAATTTTGGAAGTGAGGGGCTCCGTGCACAGGTGGAGCTGTGCCCCCACCCCACACACACACTGAGGCAAGGCCACCGCGGCTCCTGAGCCCCCAGGAAGCCTCTGCTCCCACTGCACAGAGGAGGACCAGTCTCAGGGAGGGGAAGTGACCTCCTCAAGGTCCCACCGCTGGTAGTGAGGCAACAAGGGCCATAGTCCGGGCTGTCCCATGTCAGTACGTGGTCCTGAGCCTTCTGTCACCTCCAACGGAGGCCCAAGGAAGATAGAAAGGATTCAGGCTGTGGGCCACACAGGCTGCCTAAGCTGGACACAGACTGTCACCGTCAACCCCCGCACCCCCTCACTGGCCCATCTGGAAGGTCACCAAGCCCTGGCACTGCCTCCACGGAGTATCCCATGAATTCCCTCACCACTGACTCCAGCCACCATCATCCCACACCTGGAAGAATGCCGTGCCTCCTCCTGGGTTTCCCTGCATCTACTCAGGCGCCATCAGGTCAGCCTCCAAGCTCTGGTCAGACCAACCCACACCCTGCCTACCAGCAGCCATGGCTCCCCGTCGCCCTGTAGATAAAGTTCAAGCCCCTTATCCCCTCTTGACCCGGCACCTGCCGTCCCGGCAGCCTCGTGCCTGGCAGTAGCAGTGCTGCCATTTATGAAGTAAGTACTCTGTGCCAGGTGAGGATCCAGCAATTTTCATGCCTTCTCGTACCACCACACCGCATTTGCCTCTGGCGCAGAATTACCGTGGCCCCACGTTTCCCTGCATATCTCGTACCTCTGCTGATTCCTTCATCTGGAGCACTCGCCTTCCTTCTCCACCTGACAAAGTCCTGGTCCTCTGAGGAGCCTTTCGTGCTGCTGCAGGGAGGATGGATCTAGGGCCACCCTGCGCAGCCCTGGCCCTTATTCTCCTCCCACCTGCTGCAGTCAGAACCACGCTCCCTGACAGTGCTCCAGAGCCAGCTGAAAGGCAGGAGACAAAGGGAGTCACCCGCACGACAAGTCACTGACAGCCACAGGACTGGAGCCCATGTCCTCAGCTCCATGACGTGGACTCTTGGGGAAGTAGATCAGTCAGCTATTGCCGAGTAACAAACCAACCCAAAACTCAGTACCTTCAAACAATGACTATGTCCCCTTACTCAGGAGTCAATGGATGCATTGGTCACTCCAGGTCTCAGCTGGGTTCCCTCATGCAACTCTGGCCAGCTGGGGATCATGTAGGTGGCCCTGCTGATCTTGGCAGAACTCTCTCACGTACGTTGGGGTAGTCTAGGATGGCTTCAGCTAGGATGACTGGGCCCTGGTCCTCCAGCAGGCTAGACCAAGCTCTTTCCCATTAGAGGGGAAGGATTCCAAAAGTGGGGCAAGTGCTGCAAAGCTCTCTGAGGCCACTGCCACTACATTAGTCCCTCCATGTCCTTCTGGCCAAAGCAACTCATGGGGCCAGCCCCAATTCAGGGCCTGGTGAAGTAGATGCCACCTCCTACAAAGAGGACTGTCCAGTCACATGGCAAAGGGCATGGGGAGAAGGAGGGGAATAATTTCCCAAAACTTGACAGCAGGACTAGTGGGAAGACATCCACATTGGCAGGAGAGCACCTAAGGGCTGATGGGGCAGCAGGGATACGGCCACTCTGCCATATGGAGCCCGTGCCTCAGCTTCTCACCTCGATCAGTGTGCAGGTCTGGGCTCAGTCTTGGGTCTTGTTTTCCTCTAGCCATCTGACAGCAATTCCCAGCCCCAATCTCTACCCACGTCTGACCTCTCTCTCTGTCTGCACACTCACCAGCCATCTGTGTGGCTAACTCTGGAAGGCTTCTCTCCACACCCAGGTCCTCTACTGGGCCATGCAACTGGGTTCTGGACTGTGGAGCAGAGGTGATGGACCCACTTCCTAGCCCATCAACACCTCATGGGCTCAGCACAGCCACCCAGGAGGCTGCAGGTCCAGGCAATGGAAGGAAAGACCCTGGGTCCCTGAATGGCCACCTGGAGTAGAGACACCTGCTGATTAGAAACACTCACTGGCAAGGAATACATGTCTGTTGTGGGAAGCCACTGAGACTTGGGGGTTCATCTGTTAAAACACAGAGCCTCTCCCTCACTAGGCTCCAGCCGCCATGGCTTTCCTTCTCTCTTCTTCCAGCAAGCCAGGTTCTGCCCTGCCTCTGGGCCTTTGCACATTCTGTTCCCTCTGATCTATGCATGGTTGGCTCTTTCGTCCCTGACTCAAATGCCAACACTTCAAGATATACCCCCACAATCCCTGGCTCCCAGTGCCCCCCTCATCAATGACTTTTGCTTCTTTGTGGCACTTACCACTATCTGAAAATGATTTTTCTCATTTATTAGCAGCTCTACAGTACAGTGATTAAGAGCATGTAGCCTGGAGCCAGATGCCCTGGGTTCAAACCTGGCTCTGCTGTTTAGTGACTTTGTAGTTTAGGGCAAGTAATTTAACCTCTGTGTGCCTGTGTTTCCCCATTTGTAAAAGGGGGCAGTGGTAGGATTATCACAGTGATTAAATGAGTTAATACATATAAATTGCTAGACTCAGTGCCTGGCACAATGTAAGGCTATCGAAGTGTGAGCTTTGGGTATTAATACAGTTGTTAAGTTTCATGAGAGCAGGACTTTGTCTATCTTTGTTGTTATAGGGTCTCCAGTGTCCAGTACATAGTTGGGTTTAATAAATAATTGTTGAATAAGAATGAATGAGATCCAGAGCCTATTCCCAGACTCACCAGGTCCACTGCCTGGACCCCAGCTCAGGGTGGTGGGCTCAGGAGGGCATCTGAGTGGATTAGCTGGAGGATAGGAGGAGGTTCCATCCTGAGGGCTGCCTGCCTGCTCAGGGGCCGGGTGGGGGTGCTGGGGTAGACCAAACCCCTCCACGTGGTCACAGGCACATCTGCTCCATTGAGAGGGTGGCCACTGGTTGCCACAGCAACACTCCTGGCCCCAGAACAATGTGCTGGAGACAACGAAAGGGCTCTGCAGCCACCCCTAGCTTAGCCCCTGAGATGGCAAGCCATCCCAACCCAGAGAAAGTACACACTCACACACACACACAGTCACACATGCTCACAGTCATACACACACACTGAGCAAGAGACCCAGAGGGACCCATACAGCTGAGGGAGAAGCTGGACACTCACAAAGGGAGTGCAAACACACATCAACCATGGTCAGAGCCCTAGACAGACCCCACAAGAGGCTCTGAGAGATACACGCGGGTCACCCCAAGAGGTGCAGAGTCACACTCACAAGATGCACACCCACCCAGATGCAGGTCACAGTCTGGTGTTGGGGGAGGCCTGGGCAAACCTGTCTCTCTGGGAGGCCATGGCTGGACCTTCAGTGTTCACCTGCAGCCTCTGGCACCTGCTTGGTGGCAGGCCCCAGTGTGTGTGTGCACGTGTGTGTGAATATTGGGTGGAGGTTTCAGGAGGACTCGGGGACATGCAGGTTGGAGGGAGACCCAGTGTCACCTCCCTCGGGAGGCCACACCCAGCAGAAGATACTTGAGTATGAAGAGAGAGAGCCTCTCAAGCCCAGGAGGGCATCCTCTGAGGCTGTGGGCCTGCCTTGCATAGGAAACAGCCCCACAAAGCCCCGGCTCTCAGCCCTGAGAACTGGGTCCCCCTCACAGCTCTGCCCCTTTTAGTGTGAAGAGGTTGGACAAGGCTCTTCCACCCTCTGAGCCTCAGTGTCCTCACTGTAAAGTGCAGGAGACAATCCCAGGCCTGCCTCCCCAGTGCTACTGGATCAGAGGGCAGCAGCGAATGCTCACTGTTGACTAACTGCACTGGCATGACCTCAAAACTGCAAGCCTGGGTCCAGCCCCCACCCCATAGGGGCCAGGCAGGAATCAGGGG